CTTCCTGATCCCTGTCATCCTTAAGACCTCATATGCCTGTACTGACCCCTCACCCCCACCAGCCCTCATCTCTTTCTCTCCCCTCTGTAGCCCAGACTGGCTTTAAACTCTTTCTGTTTCTACTTCCCAAGTGCTGAGATTTCAGGTATGAACTACCATACCAGGACTGTTTTTTTGTTTGTTTGTTTGTTTGTTTGTTTTGTTTTTTTAACCCCCAGTGCTGGAGGGCAAGAGCTTTACCACTGAGCTACTATACTCCATCTGTTTCTTTATCTTCTTTTTCTCCTAGTTCTCTGGGTTGAGGCAGTCTTTTTCTAAGCCCCCTACCTACAGAGATCTTTGTGGCAGTGTTCATACTGGAAGTAGAGGCAGACAGCTTTGGAAATCCCCAGATGGCCTTTCATATTGTGATCCATAGAAATGGCCTGGTGGGGGCTGCGGTCTTCTGTGTGTTAGTGTTACTATTTTCAGAGTCTTTTCTTCCACATAGAGCCAGGGGAGACTGGGACTTGCCAAGGGTCAAGATTGGAGGGCACTAAAAGTGAAGGAAGGAGTGTGATGCTGAAATGGGTATGGATGGGAGTGAAAGGAATTCTGGGAAACTTCAGTTTTCTTGGAGGTTTGATAAGAGCTGGACAGTGTTGAACCTCTTGTTTTCCAGGAAAGTGCTTTTCATGGGCCAGGTTCTGTCAGGTCTGAAACAGAGGGATGGACTAGAAGTGGGGGAAGAAAAGGACTTTCTGTAGCTAGGGAGGCATAGGGGTCTTCACTCTGAAGGACTTTGAGATAAAAGAGGCCTTGCTGCTTACGGTGTATGTGTGTGTGTGTGCATGCACAAGAACCCACATGCGGTTCATTTCTTTGACTTTAATTGGGTGCAATTCAGCACCAGGATCCCCTCAGCTGCCTGAGTCCAGCTCCTTTTCTTGAATTCCTTGTTTATCAAATTTATTCTTCAGTCTTTTCTCTTTCCTTTCTTGCCGCTTTCTGTTGTCTGGATTGTGTTTCATTCAGACTTCCAAGGAAGTTCCTGGGCGAGATCTAGCCAGAGAAGGTGGAACTTGAATGGTTGTTTAAAGTCAACATACGGCTTCTCTCTTGTCCTAGGGCTCACCACTAGTCTTTCAGAAGCCTGGCTACGTAGTGTCATTTCATAAGCTCTGGCAGGTGGCCATTCATCTGATTAGTCTTTCCATGTCTCCTCTACTTGATAAGCTTTTATTGAGCACATGCTGTGTGCTCTGAGTATAGAGAACAAGGAAAACCAGGCACTGTTTGTACCACATTGATGGTTGCCATGTCCTTTGAACTCACTGACAGTTCTGGGCAACAGAGCACTCACGGTGGGACTCTGAGCAAGGGTGCAATGCCCTATGTCTCTCAAGCTGATTACTCTGTTAGACTTGTGTTGTCCGAACACCATCAATGTGTAGGGACATAGGTACGTCTCCTTAATTTTAGTGTGAGTTGGCCTTGCCAACCTGAGAGTAACAAGTCCTGTGACCTTGGACAAAGGCACTTTCTTCTTCCCTAAGATGCTTGTGAGATTCAAATGAGGTTTAAAATTATATAGGAGAGACACCAGTCACTACCATTTTCTGTCATCTCCATTTTAACTGAGTTTCTTCTCCTGGTCTGGGATTGAACAGGCAGGTGCTTGCTGGGTTTGAAGGACTGTGGTGGGGGCAGAATGGGAGCCAGTGATGCTGGCAGTTAATTCCTATTTGGGTTGTGGGGACCTCTTGTCTGTGTCAGGCTTGTTACATATTTTATTTCCTTTAGTTTTCTTAATATCTTTGTGGGAGTGATTCACCGTTTTACAGCTGAAGAAACTGAGGCTCTAGAGTAAAAAGCTGAGTGTTTATGAATCACTTAGGGTATTCATTAAAGAGCCATGTTTCTGGGACAGGGAGATGGCTCAGGGAGCTTCTAAAGCAAACCTCATGACCTGAGTTCAATCCCCAGAACTCTTCTGAAGGTCAAAGGAGAGAATGAAATATACTTTCCCTCTACCCTCCACACATGTGCCATGGCACACCTACATACACATACACACACACACACACACACACACACACACACACACACACCACACTTACACAAGTAATAAATTTTAAAAAGGCCTACCTTCCTCTGGTTTAGCAAATGTGCTGTGAGGGTTAGAATTTATCAATTTAAAATTATGATCCAAGGTGATGCTAGTATCTGCAGTCTCCAAATCACTTTTATTTATTCTGTCTCTTCTGTCTGTCTGTCTCTTTGAGGGGTAGTTGAGACAGTTGTTTTTTTTTTTTTTTCCGTGTAGCTCTGGCTGTCTTAGAACTCACTGTATACCCCTTGAACTCAGAGATCCACCTGTCTCTGCCTCCTGAGTGCTGGAAGTTAAGGTGTGCGCTATCACTGTCTGGCTAAGACTGTTTTTGAAAATATATATTTTATTTTTATGTGTATGTGTGTATGTTTTTGTGCATGACTAGTGTATAGCACTTATGTGTGGGTGACTATGGAGGCCAGCAGAGGGTGTTAGATCCCCTGGAGCTAGAGGAACAGGGTTGCCAGGAATTGAACTCAGGTCCTCTAGAAGAGTACCATGCACTCAAATGCTGAGCCATCTCTCTAGTCTGTTCATGGCACGTTTTTATTTCCAGGGCACATTTTAATACATATTGATTAAAAATTAGTGACTTGCACAATGGGTGCATCTCAGGAAGTGAGCTTTGAACCTGGGATTTCAGCCTCAAAGACTATATAGAGTGGTAAAAATGTCAAGGAGTTGGGTTTGTGCTTTGGAAATGTGGTTTGGAATTCTTTTTCCACCTTCCTTGCCATTGGCCCATTGTGATGATAAAATAAGATAAAATAGGAGAAAACACTTTCAAAGTGCAGAACTGGCTGCATTCTTAGTAGTTATGCAAATAAATGCAAATGTAAGGCCGTGGGTGTGGCTGTTCACTTGAGAGGCAGCACTTGTTTTCCTCTAGGTTGGTTGGGAAAGACAATGGTGGGCATTGATTTTTGGAGACCTGGTTAAAAATAGTAAGATCTGGAGGCGACAGGAGCTCCACAAGGAGAGCAACAGAACCAAAAAATTTGAACACAGGGGTCTTTCCAGAGACTCATACTCCAACCAAGTACCATGCATGGAGATAACCTAGAACCCCTGCACAGATGTAGCCCATGGCAGTTCAGTGTCCAAGTGGGTTCCATAATAATGGGAACAGGGACTGTCTCTGACATGAACTGATTGGCCTGCTCTTTGATCACCTCCCCCTGAGGGGGGAGCAGCCTTTACCAGGCCACAGAAGAAGACAATGTAGCTACTCCTGATGAGATCTGATAGACTAGGATCAGAAGGAAGGAGAAGAAGACCTCCCCTATCAGTGGACTTGGGGAGGGGCATGCATGGGGAAGGAGGAGGGAAGGTGGGATTAGGAGGGGGAAGTTATGGGGGGATACAAAGTGAATAAAGCATAATTAATAAAAATTAAAATAAAAAAATAAAAAAGGGGGGGCTCAGTGAAGTAGCAGATTAGGGTAAGGGCAGGACTATGAGGAGAAGTTAATCACAGGCAGTAGAAGAGGCCTTTCTTTCTGTTTTGTGTGTGCTTATTCCAAAACCCTCTGTTATCAGGACTAAGTAGAGAGAACCCCTGTCTAGGCTCAAAGAGTCCATCTTTTTGTTCTGTGATATCCTGGCAGATCCCTTTCTTGCTTATTTGGCTGGGAAAGCCTTCCAAAATCTCTAGTCCCTTTTCTGTTCCTCTTCCTTTGTGAAGCAGGAGTGGGCTGAGCTTTCCTAAACCAACTCTTCTTGTCAGACAACTGACTGTTTCCACATGATGAGGTACCCACTCAGGAGGCACGTGGCTCCTCCCTCTAACTCCCTACCCCCAGATTGGCCCCTTTCCCTTCTGCCCCATTTACTCTCAGACATGTGGGCCATGACTGCTGGGCTCTGAGGTGAGACTTCCTGGGGCTGGCTATTTTGAGCACCCCTATTCCAAAGTTGCTGAGACCCCAAGATTCAAGAGCCGATTTTGTTCAGGAATACCATTGTTCTTCCTCCCCAGCATCTCTGGGAATTGATGCTAATTTCAGCCTCTAGTTCCTGACTCATTCTCTTCTCCCTGAATCACAGAGTGACCTTGGGTTTTGAAATCTCTCTCAGTGAGAAACTATCTTAGCTACTATCTCACCCCACCTGGACAGGAGAGCCTGTGTATGGTGATGGGGAGTGTTGGGATGGTGGTGAGTTGCTTTCTTCAAAATTACTGTATAGAGCCAGAGTTTTATTTGCGACTCTGAGCTGCTTTTGCTAGGCTTTCAAGAAACCTCTCAGTTAGTGACCCCCAGAATTCAAAGCTGCAAAGTGTGAAAGACTGTCCCCTTGGGGGAAGGTATCAGGTGAGTGAGAACCTGGATTCATCCCACCATTTTGCAAGGGTAAATTTTTGTCTGGGCCAGAGACAGGGCATGGGCATAGTGACTCTGCCAGAAGTTATCTGGGACATGAGCCTGGGCAGCCAGGGGTTAACTTGGTTTGTTCTGGTTGATGGATTCTGGAATCATAATCCATTAGCTCTGCCTGTGTGGAGTGAGGCCAGGCGAAAGTCTTTGTTCTGTGCCTTTGCCATCCTTGCCCGGGTTGAGGAGCTGTGGATGTCTCCCTCCCTGTCTTAACCAAGACAATGAAAGGATTCTGGGGACTGTTTGGATTGGTGTTGATCCCAAAGCCTTTCTCTTGGGGAAATATGGAGACTGTGAAGCAGGAACATCACTCCTCAGGCTGCTATCTACCTAGGCTAAAACTGTGGGGGATATTAACTAACTATAGGCAGAAGCCATAGCTGGTGTGAAAAAAAACTGACTGTTGTTGTCATTAATGTTAGAACTATTAACATCTCAGAAGATTGAAGGTATTTCTGGGAAGTGCGCCCTGTTGGAGAATCCCCTGAATGGGCCATAGTGTCTAAGCAGGACCTCTGTACTCACATCTGCAGGCTGCGCTACATGGTGAAGCAGTTGGAGAATGGGGAGGTTAACATCGAGGAGCTGAAGAAAAACCTGGAATACACAGCTTCCCTGCTGGAAGCTGTCTACATTGATGAGACACGGTGAGAGAGGCATGCAGACAGAGAAGGAAGATGTTAGATAGGCAGAGCTCCAGAGAGGGAGGAGGGCAGAGCTGGAATGAGGGTTGTGTGACAGGTACAGACAAAGGATGGGGCAGAGATAAAGGGGTGGAGGGATGCAGAGATAGACTGCCTGGAAAGGTCTGGGGTGGAGCTCAGTGGTGGAGTGATTGCCTCACACTCCTGACACCCTGGCCTGATACCCAGTACTAGAAAAGACAAAAGGAAAAACAGTGATGGCTTCAGGGATACAAGGGATCCTAGAGACCATCTAGTCCTAACCTTGCCCACATGGAATACCTCTCTAGACCGGTGTTGGCCAGGGGGGGATGACTCTGACTCTGATTCCATTTGGCTACTGAGTACTTATAATGTGCAAGGATGAACTGAAATGTGTCTGTAAATTAACACAAAAAAATAACACAAAATGTCATTTACTTATTAAATGTTGATTTTTTTTCTTGAAATAATATTTTAGAAAGGAATTAGTTTAAATAAAACTTATCATTAAACATTGCACCAGTTTTCAAAACATTCTTTTTTTTTTAATTTTAAAATGATTTATTTATTTTAATTTTGCTTGTCTGTGTGAGGGCCTGCATGTATGTATGTATGTATGTATGTATACCACATACATGCTTGATGCCAATGTGGAAGCCAGAGAGGGTGTGGGATCTTCTGGAACTAGTGTGACAGGCAGTTGTATATGCCTGATGTGAGTTCTGGGAACTGAACCCTATTCCTCTGAAAGAATAGCAAGTGTTTTTAAACATGGAGCCATCTCCATGACAGTTTTATTTTACCATTTTAATGTAGCTACTAGCATAATTAAAAAAAATATTTTATTTTGTTTGTTTGAGACAAGGCCTCATGTAACCCAGGTTGGCATTGACATTACTATGTAACTAAGGTTGGCCTTGAATTCCTGGTCCTTTTGCCTCTACCACATCTGGAAAAAAAATTAAATTTTATATGTGAACCTTGAAGTTTATTTCTGATGGACCATGTTGCCCTAGAGCATCCCTGGCAGGTGGTGTTTCATTGTTTGCTAAGCCATGTCCATAGTGATCTCATGCCTCATAGAATGAGTGTTTCACTTTTAGAGATGTTCTATAGGAAGATAGACACAAGAGCTGTGGTAAAACAAAGCAAAGGTGAGGCTCCAGGGAAAGAGTCACAAAGTGGGCGTGACTAGGTGCATGGTCTCTAGCTGTGACTTTCCACAGGCAAATCCTGGACACCGAGGATGAGCTTCGGGAGCTTCGTTCAGATGCTGTGCCTTCAGAGGTGCGGGACTGGCTGGCCTCCACCTTCACCCAGCAGACTCGAGCCAAAGGTCGCAGGGCAGAAGAAAAGCCCAAGTTCCGCAGCATCGTGCATGCTGTGCAGGCTGGGATCTTCGTGGAGCGGTGAGGTTTGCCCATACTCAACCTCCTTTGCTTCTGTTGTACCCTCTGTCCTAGCCAGCCTGATCTTTTATCACCCTACCTACCCTGAGACTTAGCCCTACAGCCCAATTGGCCAAATTGTTGCTCCCTAGACTGTGTTCCTGATTTCTCTATGTTCTTTCTTAGGATGTTTCGGAGAACGTATACCTCTGTGGGCCCCACGTATTCTACTGCAGTCCACAACTGTCTCAAGGTGACCCCTGGGTTTTTGGGAAAGAGGAGAAGGTTGGGGTTTGAAATAACCATTGGGACTTCTAGATTCTGTTTGTGGTGTGATGTTTATTTCCCTTTTAATTACTATTTCCATGTTCTTCTGGACAACTTTTTGTCAGCCACGAGACAAATGCATGTCTTCTTGTCTCTCTGGTGCTGAGAGACACCTGGGTTGAAAGAGACCCACTTAACCACCTTTGCTTTCATTCTTCACTGGGAAGCATGCCTAGAAGTCCAACTGATCTTGCCATGGCAGGGAAGATTTGGAGGGGAGCTTTCCTACCTAGTCTGTTGCTTCTCCACAGAACCTGGACCTCTGGTGCTTTGATGTCTTTTCCTTGAATCGGGCAGCTGATGACCATGCACTGAGGACCATTGTTTTCGAATTGCTGACTCGGCATAGCCTCATCAGTCGCTTCAAGGTTGGGCAGCATCCTACCTCTACTTCCAGGCAGGGCCCCTCCACTCCTCACTGTCCAGTTCTAAAAGATTGCCAATGAGTGGACTCCATAGCTCCCTCATCCTGTTCCAGTGTCAGGGATGAACGCTTGCCCACCCCATTCTTGCCATTCCCGAAACTGCTGTAATCTAGCTTTGCCTCCACTGCTTCCTGAAGTCCCAGCCTGTGAGCATCTTGGGATGCTCCTCCTTTTCCTTCCCAGCCTATCCCTTCAAGCTATCTGCTATCTGCCTCTCCTTCTGCACTTGTCTGTGGACTCTGGAGGTATAGAGCCCAGTGTTGTCATCATTTGGGATTAGAATCTCTCTATTTGTTCTCTGGGGGAAGGGAGGAGTCAGTGCACACTTGACTACAATGCTTCCAGCTCTGGTCTGTGCTGGGGATTTTCTGAAGGGAACTAGCTCTGCGCAGACCTAGGAAGTCCTGTGTGCTTGGCAGAGAGGAAGAAAACCTGGACAGAAGGCTGCTCCAGACCCTGAATCTGGAGGGAGCAGCACTGGGAGGGAATTGAGCCAGGAACAAACACAGAACCCTCCTCTGGAAGGGAAGTATGTGGGGTTGGCAAGTGGCCCTGAGGATGGAGTGGCATCTGAGGTGGCAAGAGATGTTGAAGGCGAAGTAGCAGACCTTGAAGGGCATGGGCTGAGTAGTAAAGGTGGAGCTGTCCTCCTAGTGGTCCTGTCTTACTTCACTGTAACATCCATGCAGCCTCTTCCTGACCCTTGACTCTTCCTCTTTTGACACCTCTTAAGAACTGTCATGGCAGTCCCGGGTCCTGAGCTGCTCAGCTGGGTTCTCTTCTGGGCCTTCATGAGGCATGGCCCCTAAACTTTCCTTGACTACTCCAGCCTCCTCTCCTCAGTCTAAGAATTGCAGAGTTTCTTTCTCAGTTCCTGTTTTGCTATGTGGTTCTCAGATGTACAGACACCAGCTTCTTCCAAATTCCCTCTCTAAGTGGAAGGACTGGGCTTAGGGGGCCCAAGAACAGCTGCACCGGGTTGACTTCAGCTAGCCTGCCTGACTGCCGAATGATAGTTAGAGAAAGGTATCTCCACTGAGTCCTGGTCAGGCTTCCTTCCCAAGCTCCATGGTCTCTTCCCTTCCTGCCCCCCCCCTCTTTTTCTCTAGGGACACCATGGCAACGCAAAAGCAAGGACAGTTGTCATGGAAACAGTCTTTTAAAATTTCCTGAATTTGGGGCACAGCCCTCCAGGGGTAGTGGCGGGGGAATGCTTGGGTCTGACTAGTGGCATGACTTATGTGTCCATTGTAACTCTGAAGTTCATCTGCACATGCCTCCCCCAAGTCCTGAGCCCTGGATCCCTTCCTGGCCTCAGGTGAAGACTAGCCTTGTCCTCTAGGAGCCTTGAGCTTCTTGAAGGAGGCAGAGATACCCCAAGGACAAAGACAGTCAGGGACAGAATTGAGGGTGCCTGGATAGAGCCATGGCTTTTCGGGTGTGTGCACCTCTGTGTAAATGCTGTGGACCTGGTGAGCTGCCCATTGGCATATGTGGAGTGGAGGTGGTCAGGGAGTGCTTCCAAGAGGAGCAGTTCTCTGTAACTGCTGCAAGGGTGCCCTGTAGCTCATCTTACTCTGTGTGTTTGTCTCTGAGTCCTTCTCTATGATATTAGATTTGGGGATGGTGCAGGTGTTTGGAAGGTAGGTGGGAGGCTTTTTTTTTCCTTTTCTTAGAAATCTTCAGGGACATAATAATAATTATAGATACTCTTCAGAGAGTACTTACTAACTGCCTTGTATTTTTTCTCATTAAATCCTAGGTTGGTAGTAATATCTTTATTTTGCAATTAGAAAGGCACAGGGAGGCATGTGTATTACCCAAGGTCACAGAGGCTGCAGGTAGTACAGAGCCTGAATTCAAACTGGCAGCTGACCCAGCAGAGCCAGTGCTAGCTCTCTGGTATACATCCAATTCTTTTCGGGAGGGTTGATGGGCGAAGTGGAGTGGAGAAGGTCTCCCTATATAGCACATCCTAGCCTGGAGCTTGGAAATCTTTTGCCTCGGGCAAGTACTGGGATTACAGGTGAGCTTCATGACATCTGACTACCTTGTAAAGAATGCTGGTATTGTCTCATCACTTCTGTAGGTCCGTGATGTCTCCATTTCTCCTGCAGATTCCTACTGTATTTCTGATGAGTTTTCTGGAAGCCTTGGAGACAGGCTATGGGAAATATAAGAACCCTTACCACAACCAGATCCATGCAGCCGATGTGACCCAGACTGTACATTGCTTCCTGCTCCGCACAGGCATGGTGGTAGGTACATGGCCATGTTCCTGCTGTTCAGGGCCTATGGATTCAGAACTAGGAAGCCCTGGCTGCTTTTTCAGTGCCCTTTGCTTCCTGCCATTCTAACACCTTCAGAATCAAGTTGCATTAACTTCCTCCAGAGAATTTTCATGTGTACCAACACTTCCTGGGCAATGCTGGGGACACATGATGGGGTGTAGTGCGCATATGGCTGGTGGGGACAGAGGAAGCTCCCTCGCCATTCTGAGAGTTGAAACACGTGGCTAGCTTTGATGATGGGTAGAGTGCCATAGTTGTGAGGAAGGTGTTTGGGAGTGACTGGCAGAGTTGACTCAAGTTAATCCTCTTCTTCTCCTAGCACTGCCTGTCAGAGATTGAGATCTTGGCCATCATCTTTGCTGCAGCCATCCATGACTATGAGCACACAGGCACAACCAACAGCTTCCACATCCAGACCAAGTGAGCAGTGGGGCATGACAGGAGCAGGAGGGGCCAAGTTTGCCAATGGAGTCCTTTATAGGGGGCTGGGCATGACATGCATTTTCACAGGTCAGAATGCGCCATTCTGTACAATGATCGCTCAGTGCTGGAGAATCACCACATCAGCTCTGTTTTTCGTCTGATGCAGGATGATGAGATGAACATTTTTATCAATCTCACCAAGGATGAGTTTGTGTGAGCACAGGCCAGCATGTGGCATCCCTGAAACCCTCATTCCAGGCGCCTTTTCCCCATATCCCTTAGTCCTACCAGTGCTGAGAAGACTGGACTCTTCTCTGTTTGTTCACTTAGAGAGCTGCGGGCCCTGGTCATTGAGATGGTGTTGGCCACAGACATGTCCTGCCATTTTCAGCAAGTGAAGTCCATGAAGACAGCCCTGCAGCAGCTGGAAAGGTAGTACATGGAGGGGTGTAGGGCAGGCCAGGCCAGAGAGAGGGCCTTATAAGTCAAAGTACACTGGGCAGCGGTTCTTACCTGGGTTCAGAGACTCTCCTCGCTCCAGGCACTCATCTGAGTGTATGCGTGAGTCTTTGCGGTATTTGTGAATGTGGCCTTTGATTTGTATCTAACAGGTCTGATGGGGCCTTTATTGTTACTGCAGGACAGGATTTCTCTGGAATGTTGGGAAGTACATTCGATCTTTCTGGACATGTGTCCTTGTCTGAAATGCTAACAGTGAAGTGTCTCCCTCTATACTACCTCCTATTCTAAAAGGCCACTGGGAGACTTGTGTGAGGTTAAAAAAGAACAAAATGAAGACAGAACAAGTGTTATAATGCTGTCGAATGCTGTTTAGAAGGGGTTGGGAATGGATAAGTGTGCTTAAGCGAGAATCGACTTAGTGTTCGGGAGGTTTGTGTTGACCTGTGTGTGTGGTGTCTGGATACAGACTGTGGGGTCACCATGGAACACTGTTGGGGGTGGGTTAATAGCAAGAATCATGTAAATAACATCACTGGGTACACATTGTGTAACAGACGCTTTGAAATACTTGTTATAAGTCATTTAATTCTCAGAACAACTCAGTATGTGGTAGGATTATTATTTTTACTTTTGGCTTGAAGAAAATGAATTACAGCATTTTCAGTAACTTGCTTAGTATCATACATCTAATGGGTGGTAGAGATATGAGAGACAGTCAAATTTATGTCCATTGATTTTAAAAGCTTGGGTTCTCAGCTACTTATCTGGGCTTCTACGTCTATATATCCAGATGAGTATGCGCATGTGTAGACCGTCTAGAGTGACGTGGAAAGGGTTGTGTGTGTGACTTGCAGAAGGCAAGGTTCCCTTTTGCTAGAAGATCAGTTTCTCTTTCTTTAATACTTGCCCTAACCAGGATTGACAAATCCAAGGCTCTATCTCTTCTGCTTCATGCTGCTGACATCAGCCACCCAACCAAGCAGTGGTCAGTTCACAGCCGCTGGACCAAGGCCCTAATGGAAGAGTTCTTCCGCCAGGTAACTTTGTCAGTGAAGCCTTCCTACCCCCTTCTCTGCAAGCTTCTGCTCTATCTACCTTTCACTCCTGAATGGATCCCAAGCCTGTGAGGTCAAGTCTCTATCGGCAGAGCTGGTTGTTTCTACACACCCCTCATTTCCAGGCCAAAGGGGCAGCATCCTTTTCTCCCATTGTAGCCACTCATCTTCCCAGCCTTCCTGAGGCATCCATCCTCTTTTTCCAGGGTGACAAGGAGGCAGAGCTGGGCCTGCCTTTCTCTCCACTCTGTGATCGCACCTCCACATTGGTGGCCCAGTCCCAGATAGGTGAGTATGAGGAGGAGAGGAAGGGAGATGTCTGGCCAGGCTTGTTCCAAACCTCCAAGTCCCTAAACTGCTCTTGTTGCTGAGGCAAGGATGATGGGCTGGATATGGGGGTCTGTGACATATTAGAAGGATCTCTTTGGGCTCACAAAGAGATCCTCTCCAGGTTGTCCCCAGCGGAAAAGCTCTGGTGCCAATTCGCTTCTCTAGGCTTTGTTACTTTCAGCTGAGGCTCACAGCCATGCTCCCTCTCATCTCTGCCTAGCCCTCCAAGTGAGACATCTTTGCTGATTGACCACTTCCTGCAGGTTTCATTGACTTCATTGTGGAGCCTACTTTCTCTGTGCTGACTGATGTGGCAGAGAAGAGTGTCCAGCCCTTATCAGACGATGATTCCAAGTCTAAAAGTCAGCCCAGGTGACTGGCTGGGGAGACCATGTGTCCTGGTTCATTGGATGCAGAGAGAATTCCCTCACAAGACAGGCAAAGCCTAGAAGGAAGTGGGAGGGAGGTGGGCTGTTTCAGGTCTGAGAGCCCCTCTGTGTGCCACAAAAGGGTATGGCTTACACCTAGGCTTCCTACATTAAAAAAAAATATTTAGGGTTGGGGATTTAGCTCAGTGGTAGAGCACTTGCCTAGCAAGCGCAAGGCCCTGGGTTCGGTCCTCAGCTCTGGAAAAAAAAAAAAAATATATATATATATATATATATATATATATATATATTTACTTATGAATATGAGAGCTTTATCTGCATGTACATGTGCATGACAGAACAGAGCATTAGATCCCATTATAGATGGTTGTGAGCTACCATGTGGTTGCTAGAAATTGAACTCAGGACCTCTGGAAGAGCAGCCAGCACTCTTAACTACTGAGCAACCTCTCCAGCCCCCTATAGTATTTTCTTCCTTTGAGGAGACAAAGTGTGGAGAGGGAGGGGTGCAACTGTGGGAAGAGAGACAAGGATTTGGGGTATCTAGAAGAGGGAAAAGAGGAGGATTCCAGCCCCTCAGCTTCTTCCTTCTCTTTCATCTTCTCTATGCTGAGGGCGAAGAATTAGGTTCTGAAGAGGGCTGGGTCTTACATCTGGAATTGGGTGTGTGTATGGGGTCTTGTTTCTAGCTTCCAGTGGCGCCAGCCTTCTTTGGATGTGGATGTAGGAGACCCCAACCCTGATGTGGTCAGTTTCCGCTCCACCTGGACCAAGTACATTCAAGAGAACAAACAGAAGTGGAAGGAACGAGCAGCTAGTGGTAGGTGCTGTTATGTATGCATGTGTGTGTGAACATTCTAGAGCTGGCTGGTGGAGCAATAGCAGTCCCCTTTTTGTTAAGCCCCAGGAAACTCTTTGACTCCTAGAGCTGGGAATGGAGCCAGTCAGGATAAAATAGGAGGCCACAGGAAAGGCTGACTAGTTGAATGGCATGGGATGTTCTAGAATGAGAGCTGGAGAGAGGATAAGGACAGCCACAGTATTCTAAGTCCTGGGACCCTGTGCATGTAGTAGGACCCCTCTCACACTGTGGCTGTCTCCAAATGGTGCCCCTGGAGATCTGGGTAGCTTGGTGGCTCTGACCATACTGTGAGCAGGGCCTATGAGTTTTTCATGTGGAATGGGTGTAAGTAGCTCAGTTTGGAGGAAGGTGGTAGATGAGTTTCAGTCCTCTTATTTTCTCCACATACATCTTGGTTCTGGAGAAACTACCTCATAGTCTAACATCAGCGTCCTTGGAACCCTCTGTAGGCATCACCAACCAGATGTCCATCGATGAACTGTCCCCCTGTGAGGAAGAAGCCCCACCCTCCCCTGCAGAAGATGAGCACAACCAGAATGGAAATCTGGATTAGGAAACTGGGGGCTGGCCAGGTGAGTTGGAAAGCAGGAGGGCAGCCAAGCCAGGTTGGCTTCAGGTGCCTCATCCCTGGGCTCTGCTGGGCAGGAGGTTCTTCTTTTTCCAGGCACTAAAGCAGAGAATTGGAGGCATAAGACTATGGGTGGGAAGCAGGGGACCTCTGCCACCTTCTTTGGTTCCACAGTCTTTCCTTGAAGGAAGAAAGGACAGAACATCCCAGGCAGGGTGACACATGTGCCAGCCTTTTGAGATTAGAGAATAGGTACCAGTCTGGGCACAAGGCTTAGTGTAAGCAGGTGAATTAATATGACATCTATTTTAGCCCAGCTCATACCATTGACTGCCATGCTTCTGAAGGACATTAGCACCCAACTAGGGACCAAGGGAGGACTGGATGGAATCTGGAGAAGGAAGGTGGCTAGAGATAAAGTTCTAGAACAGAGCACTGAAGTGTCTCCTTCTTTCCCTAGGTCCTCACTGAGCCCAAAGTCTTCGATGTCATTAGCACTATCCATCAGGACTGGTTTCCCCATCTGCTCCAAGGGATTGTTTTGGTCATGGGAGAGACAGCCCACCTAAGAGCCAAATGTTGGAGCTGGTGGGGTGGGGGAAGTGCCCCTCTCCACCCAACACTCACTGGGGCACAAGCCTTGGGAACCACAGGCCCCAGGGGTCACTGTGCCCACCCCTTGCCTGGCCAGGTGGCTACTTGGGAGGTGAGCTTCCTGTGGGCTTCCTACAGCTTAGAGGGGAGGGTCAGAGATGCCAGCCCCCTGGGCCCTCCCCATCTTTCTTGCCTCCAAGTTTCTAAGCAATACATTTTGGGGGTTCCTCAACCCCCCACCCCAGATCTTAGCTGGCAGGTCTGGGTTTTTCCTTCTCTTCCCCAGGAAAGGGCCAGAATAGCATAGGAAGCCGGCAGCTTTCAAAGCCTTGCATGGGAAGGGTAGGTGTCCCTTCAGGTACCTTCCTAGGATGAGGTAGGGGACATCCTCTTGACCCCACACTCGTGCTTCTTCGACCCCACTCCCTTGAAAACTCCCTCTTCTGTGCCCAGGCAGTGGCTGGGAGAGGAGAGAAGCCATTGGGATTGTCTGAAGGAAGCCTTTCCTGGGGTCCTCAAGAACCTGGGGCTGGTCTGGGTTTGAGGGACTTGTTACCTGCCCTAGCTGAGTCTCTGGCCCTTTGTCTACTTTCCTGTCCCTGGGGATTAGGAGGCTCTCATCCGACCAATGTCTGTAAATGTTTTGAGGTCTTCCTTCAGGATGTATCTTATAAGCAAAGGAAGGAGAGTACAGCTAGCCCCAGTGCAAGCAGGGTGAGATTGTTACCCAGTAACCCATGTTCTCACAGAGCAGGGCCTTCCTGCTTCCCTTCTCCCAGAATTGGCCTATGAAGAGATGCCCTTCCCATGGGACCCTGGTGGGTGGAAGGCAGATGGGAAGGGGCTCAGAGCTGTTGTAACCTGGAGCACTCAGAGCAAGTACAGCCAGGCAGAGCCTTTTCCTGTCCTCAGGCTCCTTGCCCCACCTTGCCCCAGATAAGGCTGAGTCCAGGTGACTGCCTCCTCCTGTCCTGTAAATACCAGTCGTGCATTTGTTCAGTGGGCCCTGTTCTTGTGAAGTCCACTCCATGGTCATTAGACCTGCCACTCTGAACCGCATGTAACTCCCCCATGCTCTTGGTCTTCCAGGCCCCTGCTGTAGGCAGAGATCAATAAAGAAGGGAGACTGGCTGGATGTGTGTGGTGTTCACGAGGTAGAAGTCCTCTCACATGTCTTTATAGTGATCTGCTAAGTTAGACAGAACTCTGCTGTGGTATTCTCCCTGAGCGTTGGAGGGCAACCCAGGGGAAACCTATCTGGGGGGCATACAGCCCTTCACTGCCCAGGCTATCCTCTTTTTGGCTGTGCACTGCTGCAGCAAAGGGGGTGAAAGAATCTTGCCTTCTCTCTTCCTCTCTTTAATTCTTTGGGTTAATCAGAATCAACAGCAGGAGAAGCCTGGCTAGGATCAGAGACCATTTCTGTTTGTGCATAGTGTTAGTTTTGCCCTGACCTCAGCAGGTAGGAAAAGGGGCGAGGTGACCCTTTGAATTTCTAGCCACTGTGCTCTTTGACAATCAAGGAACAGTGGCTGCACATTTGGAGGCCAGACAATTCCAAGTACTGCCATTCTCAGGTGTCCAGGGACAAGGTGCACTTCCCACCTATTTCCAGCAGATGGCGCTACAGCAAGTCCTTGCTGGTCTGGGAATCTGCTTTCCAGCAGCAGTCTCCCAGAGTCTGCAGCTCTGCAGCCCTGCAATGAGGACAGAGCTTTCCACAGCAAGAAAGGAAAACCCTGACACGACTTCCATTTCTCTTTATGCAAGTAGAGGCTAGGTTTCTATCTGTTTCCTATTTCCTCCCCTAGTTGGTCCTGAGGGTGGGGGCTGTGGAGTGCAGACAGGAGCTGAGGAAGGAAGGAATCCCCAGGCTGGAAAGAAGAAAAGCACCAAGGACCTAACACCAAATTTATCACTTTTAAAAACAAGAGATTAAGAAACATCCAGTGTCCATGAGGTTCCACACTGCAGTGGCTCTCCCAGGGTGCCAACTCCTGTCAGACCTGTTGCGGGGGAGGAAAGGGAAGGTGACTGAAGGACCACAGGCTCATCCTTTTTAGTCAGCTCAGCTATCTACTTTCTGAGGCAGTCCTGCTATGGATCTCAGTCTGAGCATCCTCTCTTTTAGGTAGGGGTTAGGGAGTATCTCTGCTCTCAGCCCACAATACTTTGGTTCCAACTGCCCTTTATTAAAAAAAAAATAAAATTAAATCTATAGCCTACTTCCATCACCTGTTCCAGAATGTCTACACAACAAACTCAATTTGATCCTTCCCGTAGTCACTTACTTCCCACTCTTTGTCAGAGGAGATGTGTGGCCTCAGCACAAAGGCTAACTTTTTAGTGACTAAATAAAACTGCTCCTTTGTCTACACTTTTGATTCCAAATACTAGCCCCTACAGCCTGCTCTCCTAAAGGCCCCAAAGCCCAGCCCAAGGGGCTTACCAAGCTGGCTCCATGGGAATCCAGTGGTGGCATGTGGGCTGAGGGGTCCTCTGTACTGGGCTCCACACCACACTGCTCCTGAGTCTTGGGGATGGATTCTGCAGGCTCTGGGGAGGAAGAGCGGGTGGTGGAGGAAGAGCCAGCCTTTATAAAGGTGCACAGCTGCTGAGAAGGGGCCCAAGACCCATCTACCTTGCCATATGGGGTTTCTTTGTTACTATGAGAGCTTCACTATTTTTTCCCTGTAACCGGAGATTGAAAATAAAAATAAGACAAAACGAAATCTCCAAAATCCTCTAAAAGTTAAAAAAAAATTGAGTATAAACAAGTGAGGCTAAGTGTGATAAGAACTGACAAGGCTAACTGTTCCTTATCCCACCTAGTGTGACTGCTCACTGGACTGTAGAAAAAGCATGTGATCACAAGATGCTTTGCTGGGTGTTATGTAACACGAAGTCTGTGCATATCGCTTTCACACAATTGGAAATGGTCTGAATCCTGGAATACATGTGGGAGAAGGAACCATGGCTGTGGACTAATACCACCAGCACTACAGTTTCTGTATTGCAGCCTTTGTATGTGTCAGGTGTTGAGCCATACTCAATGGAAGACTCCAAGGCAACCCCAAGTGAAACAAGACACCAGCTCTGCTGGTAAAGTGGCCAGCGGTGGAGGCAGGACTCTAGCCCTCACTCTGTTGCAGGGTAGAGTACTGTTCCAAGTGAGGTGGGTTTTCCCTCCTTTTCCAGTCACAACAGGATCTCTGAGGGCTAAAAGTAAGACATGTGATTCAAACATGTGACGTGTAGAATACATGTCTTTGATGGGCTTTTGGCTGCTGTTCCATCTCTCCCAGACTGCGGTTCCTTCCCTTACCCCAGTGGGTGAAGCTATCTTCCTACAAGGCTAGGGAACTGCGTTGTGGTGCCTTCCCAGGCTTGTACATACTTTGTGCTTTCCCAGAGGTATCTGGCCTTGATGCTGAGCCTATGTCTGGGATCCCAGGTGGGCAGGACTCCTGGTTCCCTGTGCTCTCAGAGGCTCCCTCAGGTTCCTCTCCTTGCTTCTGTTGCCCTAGGTGATGCTCAACCATCGTCTGGAGCTCTGGGGGCATAGAGAAAGGAAGGAAACATAGGATAGAGCTGCCTAAAATCTCCCTTGGGGGAGGTCTTTCAAATCAGTAGCCCCACCAATGCGTCTGTGCATGTTGCTGAGTGCTTGGATTTTCCACACACTGAGCTCTGAACAGGGAGAAACATTTGCTAGGCAATAAAGAGAGATGAAAGAAGGAGAATAAATGCCATTTTAAAGGCAAGTAGTAGAGGGGAAGAACATTTAAGTACAGAAGACACTCCTAATTAATGTACCAGGACCTGTGGTCTCCCTAGGGGCAGGAGAGAAGCCTCAGTCTGGACTCAGGGAATATAGTACCTTCTGTGTGCTGTGCTGATGAGGTCACATGTGCTATTTATCTGCCATAGTGAGGAGGTGGCATTCAGGCTTGGTTTGTGGATCAGTTTCATCAAGGCTACAGGAGCCTCCTTCACATAGCAATAGCTTCACTCAAACACAGATCCAGTGACCTCTCAAGGACACTCCCTGTAAAGGTTTACTAGATCTAACCCCTCCCTCCCCCCAGCCAGTTTCAGGCAGAGGGGAAATTGGGAAGGGGATGCCAAACCTTTCATGGTGGGTGTGGTTCTTGTCATCTTCTTCCGTTGCCGTGGAGACATTGACAAAGTGGACTGTGAAGGACACAGAGCCTGGATGGATGCCAGTCCTTCCCACCCTCCTCCTCTGCCTTGGCATGCTTTTGGATTAGAGATTGGGGCAGGTGGGTTTCAGGTGTGAGATTCTTGTTTCTTAGCTGTTCCCACCAGGCTGAGCAGGGAGACTGTGTGAGTGGCAGGTAGGGCATCCCACACACCTTTTAGAAGTGCATGGAAGAGGGCATCAAAGCCCTACAGGTGGGGAACAAGGTTTTTGCTTTGGTTCTGCAGAGCTAACTCGGAACCTATAGTAAATGGCTGGTCTCTCTCTCATTTAGCCACACCCCAGATCTGGAGGACCAGGGGTTGGCTTTTGAAGGCTGGGCTGAGTAGGAGGGGCCAGCTCACCTTGAGAAGTGGGTTGGGGATCCGGTCTTCATCTATCTCTGGGGAAAATAGGGGGAAAAACAGTGGTAAGAGCAGGAAACCCAGGGGGCTCCCAAAGACCTGAGTTCTTAAGAAGGGACTCTGCAGTCACCTCTGCCCTGAGCTGTCCCAGGAGCCTTTCTCTCTGGGTCCCTGTACTGCTGCTTGACCTTGTCAAGACTTGGATCATGTGACCAGCCTAAGCCTGTATCCTGGCCTCAGCCTTGAGGTCTGTGAAGGCAGATTTGTGGTCCTTTTGCTCTTTTTTCTCCTGTGTAGCATCCAGGTCTCTTTTTCCTTCCAGTTTTTCTTTTGCTCCCAGGCAAGAGCAGGGCTCCCTGAGAGAATAGTAAACTTGTGCTAGTCAGGGCCCACAGGTGTGCATCCTTATGGAGGTTGGGGGGAAGCTGGAGATTTGGGCATCTGGTCCCTTCTCTCCTAGCAAGCTCCTCTGACATTCTCCAAGACCTTGGTGGGGACTCCAGTGAGCAGAGTCCCAGCTGCTCTCTGAGCTGGTTCTAACCTTACCCTGGGGCACTGATAATGGAGGCGGTCTCTCCCCCTCACAGCTGTCACTGCATTTGGGAGTGAGTGGGGGTATTAACATCTCAGTTGCTACAAGGCTGTTGTCACAGCAACCTGAACTAGGTTGACCATCCAGTTTCTGGGGAGCTTAGGAATCAGGTTGTCCTCTTTATTCCTAGCACAGCTACATCTTTCTAAAAGCAAAATAACTCTTACTGAGCCAGCATGGGGGGATTTTTACAACTGCGGTTTACCCTTCCTCTCTAGCACCCATCCCCTCTTACAGGGACCCCTTCTTCAGGCACTTGTCCTTTGGGTTACCTGGGGATGACTGGTCACTGGTCAGCACAAGTGTGGCAGGGGTGGGGCGGCGCCTCCGAATCTGGGTTAGGGGATGAGGAAGAAGAGGTCAAGTTCACCAGGAACACAACCCAGTTTGATTTTGCACATTCCTCAAAAAGTGTCTCGTCACTCTGGAGTACTTTTGGCCCATTTCCTTCTTCTGGGATGAGCTGTTCTTGGGGACACAAGAAACCACCTCAGCCATCTACATGTTCCCTTCCCTGCACTGCCTCCTCATTCTGCCCTTGTCCTATCCAGCTCTCCTCAGAATCTCTGTCCATTCTGTGCATCGATTTGTGGCCTTTGTCCTCCTGTCCATCCTGGATCAATGGTCAGAAATAACATGAGAGGCAGAGGGCTTTCCCTCAGCCTCCAGTCTACCCGCTAAGCAGACATTTTAACCTTTTGTGGGCTCATATCTATCTGCAGAAGGCCTCTCTCTGGCTCACCTGCCATGAAGGGTTGAGTGCACTTTTCTCCTGGCCACCACAGCCCCTCAATACTTGAAGGTTTCACTAGCCTTGGACATACTGGCTTTTTAATTGGTCAGAGAACAGGGGAAGTGATCCCAGTGGTGACCAGCTCCAGGAGAAATTAGCATATAAAGCTGATTGGTGGCTAGAGTTCCAACTGAACCCCCTCCTGCTGGTTGGTTTTTTTTTTTTTTTTTTTTTTTTT